CAGTAAACTTTTTGCAAATGCGCATTTTGAATGTTCTTGTTGACTGTAGGTCGCTATGTACGCCACCCCCTGCCCATCCCAAGCAACTCAGTGAACAATTTGCCTGTCTATACCTAAAAGGCAAGAGTTCTAGTTGGTTTTTTCCCCCTTTGGCAGGAATACTTGGAAATTTTAAACAATTTAAATATCAACTGACTTATGTTCCACTTACCCTTTCCTGGAAATGTCAAGCATTCACATTTTCAATACTAATGAACAACCGCCAATTGTTTTAATTTCATTATTTTCTCAACTGAAAGAGTGCTTACAGAGCACAGAAATAGCTGGGCTTCCTTTTTATAGATCTCACTGGTCAGCCTGAAACAAGTTTAGATTGAGAGACAAAGAAGAACTCAGACTTTTTCCCCTGGAGTATAATTTTCCTGATCAAGCTAGCCTTCTTCATCCCCCAGTTGGAAAAAAACAGGCCCCAAAGAAAGGATTCAAAACCAGGGCTGGCAAGGTTTTACAAAGTCGTTCAAGTCATTCGTTTATCTCTCAGCAGGACTGAGTTACATTGACTCTGTGGGAAATCTATCTACTCTTAAAAATAGCCAGAGAATGTTCTGCCACCTTAAATGGTAACAAATTCTAGGAGACATGGTTTGGCTTCCTCTCCAGTACCCAGGCGCAGCACATAGCACAAAACCTGGATTGCAGTCATTTGGAAATTCAATCTAAATAGTGTGCTTTGCTGAACAAACTCTGCCACTGACTTGCTGCTCACAGGAGGAAAGTTAGAGGAGATTGTAGAAATAATATTTGTCCCTTCGAGCAATACACTTCTGCTTCAGTTCACTGAATGACATCCTCCAGGTTTGGGTAAGGTGAATGTGTCTTCCAAAAGGATTATCACTTTCTTCCTTGATCCTAAGAAGTAGTTTAGTACTGAGAGAACAGGGTCGAACATGTGGCCCCCAGTCCTGCATCAGAGGAGTAGAGTGAACCAGATGTGACCCTCAGCGCACAGGGGGCTTGTCTGCACGTGGGGCACCTGCCATGCAGACAGGTGACCTGGTGCCGCAGAAGGACCAGGGACCGCCATCAGGGCGGGAGAGGGCGAGAGTGCGTGCCTGGTCCTTGTTCTGTGGAGCGTGTTCTTTGGCTGCAGCTCCTGATGTTGATGGCTTTCCTGAGATACAGAAAATGCTACAAAGATCTTTCCCTGAGAGCGTCTCCCTGTCACCTGAGCTTTTCCCTAAGAGGTGTGTGACCTTCTCGTTCAGGGACAGTCTGTTCTAGGGGATCAAGGAAAGAACAAGGCTTGTCGTCCTCCTACCACTGCTTTCTCACACTCTCTGCACCTAAAATCCCTTCTTCATTTAGTCTAATTTTTCTGACTTTGCTTATGTGGAAACAGCTTTGCCGTACCTGTCCTCAGTGAGCTTGAGGGAAGCGCATACTTACCTGTCCAATCTGTACTGATTGTGGAACTCTCTTTCCTTCGCCGCATTGTATTCATTTTGGTACTTGAGAAGCTGTTCTCTCATTTTGGAGACCTCGGTGGTGAAGGCCTCTGGAAAATTGTCAGCTTGCTGCAGGTGAAACTGCTGCTGTTGTATTTGCTCGGTGAAACGTTTGGCATCCTGTAGCAGCTGGACCTCTGACTCTTGTGTGCTGGGTCCCATAAAAACAGAGATTCGCATCATGAGAAGTGTACCCCTTCAGTGCCCTCCCTAGCTCCTGTGGGGGCCATGTCCACACTGCTCCCTGCTCCTTCCATCCTGAGGTTCAGTTCAGTTCAGTGGCATTTTGGGGCCAAGTATTGTACTAGGTACTAGAGGCAAATGGAGCTCACAATCTAGCAAAGGAGAACAGGCGTAAATATGTAGCTGGAATATTGGGACAAGTGCTACCACTTGTGTCTAGATCAGGCTGGTGGGGGCGACAGAAGGGATGAAGTTGGATGGGAATGTGGTATTTGCACTTGACTTTGCAGAACGATCATGACTTCCAGAGGTGGGGACAATAATAAGGAAAAGAATGGGTCCTCCCTTCAACTGCCCCAGCAACCCTGGCTTTCTTGGCTTCCTTTTAAAAATTAAAGTATAGTCAGTTTGCAATGCTGAGTTAATTTCTCATGTATAGCATAATGATTCACCTATACATATATATTCCTTTTCATATTCTTTTTTTGTTATAGGCTATTACAAGATATTGAATATAGTTCCCTGTGCTATATAGAACTTTGCTGTTCATCTATTTTTGTATATAGTAGTTAATATCTGCAAATTCCGAACTCCCAATTTATCCCTCCGCCCTCCCCCTTTCCCCCCTGGTAACCATAAATTTGTTTTCTATGTGTGTGAGTCTGTTTCTGTTTCGTAAATAAGTTTCTCAGACTCTTGAATTCTCATGACCTGACTGAAGGAAAACTTTTTCTTTCTTAGTGAACCAAGAAAAGATGGTAAGTTTTCTAATGACACTTTACTAGGAATCTAGGAAGAAAAACTCTCTAAAATTATGGACATAAATTAATCTACAGATTTCTGATCATAACTTCAGTGCCTGGCTACAGCTGGATGTGAATGGCACCGTGGAGGCGGGGGAGACTCATACAAATCTAATTATATTCTATGGCTTTGGCTTTATCTTGGGGAAAGAGTTAAGCATCTGGCATAGAAATTGGACTTGCTGGGATCTCCACTGTCTTCTAGAAATCACTCACCTGAGCTGCAAGCTAGCAGCAGCTCCAGCCTTACCAGCAGCTGGACTTATTTCTTACAATTCAATTTCCTTGTATATACTTTGTAAACCTGAAGTTATCTGATGTCCTTAATGAGAGTTTTGAACTTTGGAATTGTGAGGCATTGGCTTGGGCCACAGTGCCCGCTTTCCCCCAGAAAGGAGGTGGACAAGGTAGTTAGGGTTCCAGCCAGAACACAAATGATAATTTACTCACAAGGACTGGAAATATAGTCCATCCTCTTCAGCAGAAGAGAATTTAACAACTCTTATAATGTGGTTTCTATGGAAAACTAGTTAAATTTCAGTTCAGCTTTTCCAGCCTATACCTGTCCTGCTCCAGCCCCCACAGCAAGAGTGAAGTGTCTGCATCTTCATGTGGGCGGGTGTTTGGGTGCCATGACAAAAGAGGGAACTAAGGGGTTAGGAGGAGATAAAATGTGGGGAGCGAGAGGGAAGTAATGGTTTTGCAAAACAACCTGGAAGTAGGAAGAGGTAACGCCAGAGCCTTGGTCCTGCATGGCTACCTGTCACTGGGGCCCAGGGAGCTGAGCTGTGAGCCAGGCAAGGAGGAAGCCAGCCAGCATCCCGCCAGGCTCTGTGGGGCTCTGGGTTAGAGCTTCCAGACGGTGAGAAGTCCACAGAGAGGCTCAGAGGGATGCCGGTAACTGCACGGAGATTTCTCGCAGTAAAGCAGTGCAAAGTATGCTGGAAAGGATTACCCTAGACTTTGCACCTGAATCCCCCAAGCTCCTGAGTCTTGAGAACTACTTGCTCACACTGGCAGGCAGGACCAGTTGTGGGGAATGGAGTCTCTGGTTAGGGGTGAGGGTGAGAATTTAGCTTGGGGCTGGGAAAGAGGAGGAGGAGCCAGAGCTGAGGGCTCTGGTGGGGGGTTGGGAACCCAGGTGGAGCTGAGTGTGGGGTGAGTCGCAGCAAAGGCTGCACAGGGATGCAGCTCAGCTCTTCTCCTTCCCGCAGGCTCCCCTCCTCAAAGTGGCCAAATGCCTGGGCAAGAAAGAAGTAGGATAATGGTTGGAGACTGGGAGAGAGGATGGCTGGGGAAATGGAGGATGGAGTTTCTGTTCACTTCTGTCTCTCCTTGGCTTTTATGAAACCGTCATGCAAAGCTATGAAGAGGAGGTGGGGGAAAGGAAGAAAGAGGTTTGGGAGTAGCAAGGAGTAGCAGAGATCAGGATTCCCCTTCTTTCTTCACTCTCTTTCCCCCTTGATGCCCAAGGGCTGACAGCAGTGCTTCTGTGGAAGCCTATGCTTCTGACCTCTGCTGATTGGGACTGGGCTAAGGTGAGTGGCCGGGGGTAAGAGGAACAGGTGAGAAGTGAAGACAGAAGTCTCAGCAGTTGTAGGCTGGATTTGTCTTAGGACCAGTACCTCTGAGTGGTGAAGAAAGGTAGGGAGGAGAGAAGCTTACAGGAATGTCCCGTGGCAGATAATGTCAGCATCTCACCAACCCTCTCGGCCCACTCTGGGGTCAACTGTAGCTTTGGTGGACCAGCAGCACCTGTGTTCCTCTGCCTGAGAGATTTCTCTGGCCATTGGAATTTGCTTGGCTTCTCAAAGATTAACCTAGAAGTGGCAGGATCTCATCTCCCTAGGAGCAATCCTTAATCGACGTGGGATGGAAATTAGTGAACAAATATGCCAGTGTCCCCCCCGTTCAGTGGGAGTCTTCTGAGGTGTGTTCCACAGTCACTCAGAGAGTCCTCGGTGAGACTGAGCCCCAGCTGCCTGCAGGGTTAACCTGAAGATGGACACATCCCCAGCTTCTTAGCTCCCTTTCCCGTCTCACTTCCCCACTCTCTCGCGATAATTTCTGGTATCACTTCTCAAACTACTTGAACTCAAATCTTTGTCTCAGGGCCTGCTTTTGGGAAAATGAAAAATAACATAAGCCCCATTACAAACAAGGAGCATAAACACAACAAAAGAAACAGCATACCTCATCACGGTATCATGCAGCAAGGAGTACTTGGCTTTTAACTCTGCCATTCTGGCTCCTGGGAGTTTCCCCATAGCATGTAACTAGCGAAGAGAACGCAAGGAACACAAGACCACTATTAGCCATCACCCTCTTTCTGCCATAAGCAGAGATAAGATGGATGTATGGATATATTATAAAATATTTCAGTTAAACATTAAGAAAAACATAAGGCAAAAAGGCATATTAGAAAGACGGTGGGTGTCTGGAGAAAACGGTTCTAGTTCTGTTCTGCTCTGAGTTCCTGGGCAATTCTTTTACCTCTCTATATGAATACTGTGATTTCCTCATCTGTAAATTAAGGGAAGAAATTGAGTTAAATTCTTCCAGTTCTAAAAAAAAAACATAGGTTTAGCAAACAGCCTACGGAGTACAGATTACAGGGATGGTTGTAAGTTGAGAGAACTAATAATTATTGAGCACCTATTATGAGCAACTGTCGTACGTCAGCTGTGCGTCTTGAAAATGTTCTGTGAGGTAGGGATTATCTTCATTTCAAACTAAAATTTGGAAATATTAAGTAATTTGTTTAAAGTTACAGAGCTAGTTAAAGGCAGAGTCAGGATTTAAACCCAGGTGGTTCAGCTCCAAAAATTCACACTCATTTCTCTGTACCATGATGCATCTGCCTCTACTGTCAAAGAAACATGAAAGTTTATCTGGTACCCAAAGTAGTATTACTCATTCCTTATTCTTTTCTGGCAAAGGAACTTTTCGTTCACTGAGTTAGGTAATAAGTAGTTAATAGACATCATAACACAACATCCAACACTGAGGTGTTGCCATAATGCAATGGGCATTTGTATTAGGTTAAACTTTAACTGAATTGCTAGTAACATGGTATCAAAAAATAGAATTGAAGAAAAGA